AGGATCTAGAAGACATGAGAGACTACAGGTTGGTCTTTAGAGACTGGACTAACATAGAGCCCTCGTTCCCATTACACCCCCCCTCTGATTTTCCAGACCCATTCGCGCCCCATGCCCTGTCTATGATTGAAACTCTGCCCTAAGTGACTACATGCGGTTCCCTTCCCCAGAGCGCCCTAGCGTGGGACCTGCAAACTAGGAGAATGAGCATGTCCTTTTTTTTTTTTTTTTTTTTTTTTTGATATAACATGATTGGAAACTGTGAAATTTCTTTTTTTTCTATGATGATGATGATGTTTCGTATGTAGAATAAAAAAAGAAGACTATGCTATATAAGCAATTTTGGCCTCCTAATCCTAGGACAACACGTAGCCCTCCGTGTACCCGGACATTACATCTCAGAAACAATGTCATCCTAACCAATGTCAACCATAGCTAAGTTAACCTGTTCTCGCCACTTAGACTATCCCTGGACCCATAGGTTGTCAAGGCAGCCCCCCTCGGTTCACCATTGGATTGCCTTCCTCCCTCAACAAATCCCCAGAACTCTCTACAAGGCCTTACACTCCTGCCATTTGCAGGTTACAGCGCAACGCCCCAACTCCGGCCAGCGTCGTTTTGGCATCAGCAAACCAGGGACACAGAATAGAGCAACTCTACAGATATCAGTCAAGAATCGGCCATCTCTGAAATCCTATATCCGCAATGAGAAAGAAGGCCAGATACCGCCAAGAATTATCGAACGCCAGAATGTGACGCCCAACCTCACGCCCAACGCGACTTCCTGATTGGAGTGGGGTGTGGGCCTGGAAGTGCGAAAAGGGGTGTACCAAGGATTTTTGGGAAAGTGGGGGTGGAGTCCCAGGTTAGAACTGAGAGCTCCTGTGACAGAGTTTTTCGGGGGCACGGGTGCAATTTGGCAGAGAGGGCGGACCGATTTCGGTCAAAAGGCAGATGGCATGCACAGGTCATTCAAGGCTGCTCGATCCGTCCGTTTTGATGACGGCGATTCGTCGAAAGGTCCATTCGGGGTGGATGTGATCCTGATGAGTCAGGTCGTCGGTTGTCGCCACGTGGCGCCGGTCGTCGCGCGTTCGGGTTGGGCCCTCGGGTTCCCGGGGGTCTCTTATTGCCGCGTTGTCGGCAATTTCCGCAGGGCGTGCGGGGCCAGTACGGGGCTAAGACGGAAGAGAGGGAAGTTAGTGGAGATAACGACAAAACCGGGGGAAATAAAGTAGTGGGTGTGGTCTGAAGTGGGGAAATCAGAGCACCGGGGATCGCTGGTTGTGGCACAGTGAAACTCCCTAGGACACAGTCGATTCTCTGTTAGGCAGGGGAACCTCTATCAGAGGCAGTCTTCTATCCAAGGGGTGAAGTACTCCGGGTCCCACGACGAATATGAGCTCCCAGAGCGTGTCATTATGTCATCGTAGCCGCGAAATTCCTAAGGGCGTGTCTTTGTCGGCCGCGCGAGTTGAATGTGAGTACGTGTAGGCCGCGCGAGTTGAATCGCACTTACACGTGTTCACACAGGATGATTGCTTCGTCGTCGACGCAGGATGGCCACATCCAATCAGGCAATATCCCCGCAATCGTTAGCCTTTTCATGCGTAGGTGGTTGTGGATCGACGCGCGTGGACACGTGTAAGTGCGCAGATCAGATCGCACTTACGTGTGTCCCTGCGAGGCGTTCGCTGGTTTCTGGGCAAACAGCTACCCGATCATCTAATCACTCCATAATTTCTAAGCATGCAAGATGCAACAATCACAACAGCTCAATCAAGGGAGAGACAAGAACGGAAACAATATTGATGACTACGCAAAATTCCTACCCTACTCATGAGTGCATCAAGACGATAAGCAAAGACAAAGATCAGGCGTAAGGAAAACAAATGGACACGACATCCATTCATGCATCATAACACACAACATCAAAGATTGAAATCGCAGAAAGCGAGTGTGGGCGAACGAAAACCAAGCCAAGATTCCGAAAGCAAAAACGGGCAAATCGCCTTGATCCGAAATCAAAATTTATATACACCAGTAGAGAGGGAGAAAAGACAAAAGAAACAGCAAATCCACGTCCATCAATCTCAGCTCCCTCTTTCCCTCTCTCTCTCTCCGATGTGGACAGTCCGTCGTCGCACACCAACCCACGAAGTCGTTACCCCGCTTAGTCCTCCCGCACCAGTTAGGTTCGCCCGCCCCCACAGTCTGTTGTGGCCCGCGTCAACCCCGCGCGTTTGGCATCAGCTCGTCGGGTTGCCCGACTCCCACTTCAACTCACCTCTTACTTCGCTCGTGAGCCGACCCTTACTGATCGTGCTACCTCGAGCTTCCAACAGCTGGTTAAGAGAGCTAACTAATCGTGCAGACGGAATTTATAGCGTGCATGCATGCACGAAGAACACAAAATTACAAGGACTTAGGAGGAAGATCAGGAGGGGGAGCGCCTATGTTCTGCATGGCCTGATCGCGGCATAGGGGACGTAGCCTCTCTCCACGCATCAACCCGAGCATGCAGTCCGCGGGCTGGCTAGACACAACAAAAGAAAGCGAGAACAGGAAAGACGAAACACAAGAAGAAAGGATACAGTTACAATGGCGCCCACTCAAAATTACAGTTACACACCCGATTAAAGGCGCCGACTAACCGGAGTTCCGTTGCAGCCGCATGAAGAAGCGCGTAAACGAAAAAGCGCTGCGCGGCAAAAGAAAATCCTAATTGCAAAAATTCCTTAATTCCTATCTAATACAGAAAAGGCGAAAAACACAAGTTCCGAAAGAAAAGTATGAAATTCTGAGAGCCATCGAGGCTCGACAAGATTCGAGAAAATAATTCAAAATGAAATTCAAAAAGAACGAAGCAAAATTCCCGCGCGATGTCCTCGCCTAAAAATCCAAAATTGAAACAAAAGAAGTGACGTCAAGAGTTGTTAACCGTGCGCACGGCGGCGCGCCGCAGACACAGCCAATCAATCAATCGATCGTCCCGGGACTCACCCGGTTCTGAACCCAACCCTTCGAAAAGAAGCGACACAAAAAGACGAAGAAGCGAGGACACTGATGCAATTTCCTTCCAATCCCGATCTCCCGTAGTTGGCCCATCCTTCCTAGCTTAGGACCCCTCATTGCTATCGCCCAGGAAATCGAGCGGTGCAGAAATCGGTTCGTCACATATGTGACGCCCAGGGGGTTCCAATATTAGCAAGCTCCTGCTTGCTTGTTGACTCGTGTCGATCTCAGTAATCGATCGATGCGTGGAGCTTTTCCTTTTGTGCCACTTACCGTATGAATGAGTGTGGACGTCATCCAATGTGGCAACAAAACTCTAACTACTAATTCCTCAGGAAGGACCATTGACAATCCAAGGAGGGGATCACACGTGTCATCGTTGCGGCATGCGCACCAATCAACCGATCACCAGTGTCCAGTGGGGAGAGGGAAAGGAAGATGGCTATGAATCCCCGTCGGCGGAGGCCAAGCGCGGCCGAATACGCGGACGCGACGAGGCCGCCGACCCCGCGGACGCGCGGCTTTGAAGCCACGTGGCGGCCAGCGGGTTGGGGATTCGGGAAGCGCCATGGGGCGGCGCAACCCCAGCCCCACCCCCTCAAACAAAAAAGAATAAAAAAAAACAATTTTTTGGTTGGGGGGGGTCGGGTGAGTAAAGGTATTTCGAAAAAAAAAAAAAAAAAAAAAAAAAAGTGCTTTTTTATCTTTTATCTTTTTTCGTTGATTG